AAAGGTAAACGGTCCGGGGGGATGAGGTGATGCTGGAGAGTTTGGAGCACGGTGTGCTGCCCTGTGGGTTTATCCCAACCAGTGTGAGCTTCCCTTGTTCCTGTCCCAAGGGATTATCCAGGTGAAGCCAGTCCACAGCAAAGTGGGGGACAGCCTGGACGTCTCCTGCTGGTCCTTGGGGTACTGGAGGAAACTGGTACATCCCCACTGCTGCCTTCCAGGGCCTGGTGCTGCAGACACTTGCAGAGGGCAGCTGTAGGAGTTCTCAGGCATGGAAATGGTGCGTTTCCAGGGATTTTTAAGGGGGGTGTAGGGGTGGGTGGTGTGTCTGTGGCTCAGTGAGTCACTTGGACCCCAGGCTCGCTGCACCACCCCCAGACCCACAACCCCTGCTCATCTGGGGGCCGTTTTGGGAGCCCCATCCCTGAGTGACATCCACGAGCATCCCTGAAAAAAGGGAGAAAAGGGGATTTTGGGGCCGAGGCAGCCGCGAGCTGGCTGAGGGAGCAAAGCCAGCGGCCCCAGCACCACTCCCAGCAGGAGAGGCTTTCCCGGCAGAACTGTGGGCACTCCCCTGGCCCGGGGGCGCTGCCTGAGTCACCCCGTGCTCCTGCCCGGGCTTGTGCCGGGGAACCCGGATGCGCCGAGCCCATATTTGGGAGCGGGGCAGGCGGAGCCCATATTTGGGAGCGGGGCAGGCGGAGCCCATATTTGGGAGCGGGGCAGGTGGAGCCCATATTTGGGAGCGGGGCAGGCGGAGCAGGATCGGGGAGATGCGGCGTGGGAAGGAGGGGATGCCTGTGACCCCGGGCACAGCCCGCAGCAAAAGCCACGCACAGAACTCTGCCTCTCACCAGAATCATCCTCCCACCGCTGGAACAGGGGTGGCTGAAGGGCCACGGCCAGTCCTCGTTAGCTGCCAGCTCCTAACGATGCCCAGGGCAGCGAGCCCGGGGGTGCCCCTGGTGCTCTGGGGTTTTGAGTGTTATCCCCCCTCGGGTCTGAGCTGCTGCCATTCCTTCCTGCAGGAATCTCCCCTTGTTGGTTTTGTCTCCCTCAGGTTTTCTGCCGGAGCATTTTCTGTCTGACACACAATGGGCCCGGAGCCAACAACAGTTCTGAGACATTTTGTCATTACTCTGAGTGCCGGAACAATTAACACAACAAAGTTGAGATGTTTCTTTACCTGTGATTCTTTCAAAGCGGGGCTTTTATTTTCTTTTTTTTAATTTTTTTTTTTTTAAAGGTGCCTCCAAAACCACCTGTATGATTGCTGGATTTCTTTGAAGATCTGAAGAAGAGAAATCCCCACATGAAAGTCCTCCCATCTTCAATGGCCCTTTGCTGCAGCCTGGAGCGGCCCAAAGAGGGGAGGAAACGGCACCCGGAAACTTTGATCCTGTTTCCCCTGGAGCACAAGGAATGGCTGGATCAAATCTGAGCCTGAGACCTAAAATATGATCCCCAGACTCTCCTGGGGACCAGGTAACAGAGCACTGGTGACCACCCTGAAGCCCCAGTGCCCTCCCAGAGCTGTGGTGATGCTGCTCGGGCTGCTGGGTCTCTGTTGGAGGAGGGAGCTGGTGGGATTTCTCTGAGCAGGACGACTCTGCCCATCTCTCCATGGCACAAGCTCTGGGATGTGCAGTGCCAGGGCTGGGCAGTGCAGGGCCAGGTCCTCACTGCAGCAGGATGGGGAAGAAGGATCAGGTCCAGAACTGCTGGAGCACTTTCTGTGGCTGTGGGACCATCCAGCCACCTCCTGCCCTTCCCACCACCTGCAGGATCATCCACCCCATCGTGCCTGCCCTGAGCTGGTGGGGTGTGAGGGCCACAACTCAGAGATTCATGGAATTTCCTGAGCTGGAAGGGACGCACAAGGATCACCGAGTCCAACCCCTGGCCCTGCACAGGACACCCCAACAATCCCACCCTGTCCCTCAGAGCATTGTCCAAACCCTCCTGGAGCTCTGGCAGCCTTGGTGCTGTGCCCACTGCCCTGGGGAGCCTGGTCAGTGCCCAACCACCCTCTGGGGGAAGAACCTTTTCCTGAAATCCAGCCTAACCCTGCCCTGTCCCAGCTCCAACCATTCCCTGGGTCCTGTCCCTGCTCCCAGGGAGCAGAGATTTGGAGCTGCCCCTCCAAGCTGTCCCCAGACACCACTCACCCAAGCACCCTGCCCCGCACATCCCATCCCTCCCTGAGCCCTGGGGATGCCTGGCATGGCTGCAGGGATCGCTGCCACATGGCAACAAACCCCCAATGGTTTCCCAAGCGCTTCCCCCGCGTGCAAAGCAGGTACGGGAGGCTCTGAGCCGGTGGAGCTCCCACGGGGACGCGGCGAACCGGCCCCGCTGGCTCGACCGCCCGGCGAGAGCGGGGCTGCCACGGGGCCGTGGCACACCCAGATGCTGTCGGCGTGCCAGGCTGCCAGCCCGTTCCTCCCCGTCGGAGCCGGCTGAACCGCTTCCTCCGGCTGCG